AGATCCCCAGAGGAGAGTGGAGGAGAAGGGATTGTGGTGTGGCCATCCCCCCGGGGGGGTGATTTCTCGCTTTCTATCTCTCTGTCTGTCTCTCTCTCTCCCTTTCTGGTGAGTGCACTCGCCCTGTAGCAAAAACCTCTCAAAAAAAAAAAAAAAAAGAATTTATGAAGTACCAAGTATGTGAAAGGAAATGGAGCATCCACCTCGATGTCTTCTCCAAGACTTGTTATTTAGGAGGCATTGTATCCGTGATGGTTTATTTATACTCTCTTGCTTGGCCTTCTTTCTGCCTTCCTTTCCGAATAACTCACTAGGATTAGAGATACAGTTTGATTCTACAAACAAAAAAAAGCTTTCTACATGGCGAGGTATTTAACATCAAACATTGGGAATTTCAAAAGCTTGCTAACAAACGAATCAAATGCCATAGTCACTTAGTCAAGTTTCAGTGGTTTTGAACATTCCTGTTTTAGAATTCAGTATAAAGTGGCAATAATTCATCCACGTTGCCCTACCTTTTTCTGCTCAACTCCGATTATGTTAATGTCCTTTGCTATTTGAGACAGACTTCCTGAATAAAGACTGTTTATTTGCATCTTGGAATAAAGTTAGGAAGGAGGAAGAAGACACTTTATGCCTCACTTCTTTTGTGTGTGCTGTAGATATGCAAAGCCTGGAGAAGCTATTGAAAGATGCTATTGTTTACGGACAGCCTCGGACACGAAGGCCATGGAAGAAAATTCTAATCCTAGTGGAGGGAATATATAGGTAATCCTGTGTTATTTTTCTTCTCTTTGTGACTCGGGCCCATGAAGTCATAGACTCTTTAAACTGCAGAGAACACTAGGCTAGCCCCCTCTGAACACTAGAGACGGTTTTATAACTTGTGGCAATACCTAAAGTAGAGTCGGCACTAGGACAGACGTCTTTCTGTCTAACTTTTTATTCTTTTCATTGTACTACGCAGTCTCCAAATCGCCCGCCTGTGTGGGTCTGTAATTTTTCTATTGTTTATAGAGGGAACTTGTAGTTAGGGGCAGGAATTGAATTATGTATTCCAATATGTCAAGTCAAATTACACACCATTTAATTTTAGGAAGTATTTTATTTTGGTTAACTTTTGAAGTGCTTATTTTCTTACCTCCTAACTTTTTAAAATTCTGTTACGTAACTTTAATTGCATATGCCGTGTGATACAAAGTCTAATGATGTCTATCTGTACAAGCTTTATGAAGTAAGCTCGCTTGTGTTCTGGCGCCAGTTTAAAAACAACCAATCTCCTTTCCCCTAGACTCCTGTCTAGCCATGGCATTATCTGACTTATCATGGGTAGTTATCAGGCCATTTAAAAAGCAGTAAACTAAAAAATGAGTAATAAAATGGCAACTCCTAATTTTGAGAGTTAAAAAGTCTCCACATGTCTTTTTTAAATCTTGTTTTGCCAGCATGGAGGGATCTATTGTTCGCCTTCCTGAAGTGATTGCCCTGAAGAAGAAGTACAAGGCCTACTTGTATCTGGATGAGGCTCACAGCATCGGGGCCCTGGGCCCTTCAGGCCGAGGTGTGGTCGACTACTTTGGCCTGGATCCCAAGGATGTGGATGTTATGATGGGAACATTCACAAAGAGCTTTGGTGCCTCTGGAGGATACATTGGAGGCAAGAAGGTAACTGGGCCTTAAGAACAAGCAGTTGGAGATAGAGATACCGGTACTAGATTCGGTAACTCAAACTTAGTAGTGTGGAGACCCTGCATTCATTTGTGGCTTAGGCTCGTGGTGCCAGCAGGCTTCACATTTCAGCTGCTTGGTGAGTGACTCTGATGTCTCCTCACTGAACTAAAGGCTGGTTCTGTTCATTGTTTGTTGTCTTATTTGAGCTTTTTTTCTAAACAGCATGCTGGTCTGAGATATAGAATACCCTCTTGTATGAAAGAACACACAGTGGTGTTTCCTGTTTGCCCCAGTTTGCTATTGAGTTTAAGTTATGCTCACAATTTCAGAAGTTAGTGAGGTTGTCCTTGAGCCTATGGGAATAAAAGATCAGTTCCCTTGCCTCTGGACTCAGACACATTGAGGGTGAACATAGAGACAGGAAGGAAAAAGATTTTGCTTGCTCTGGAAGGAAAAAGATTTTGCTTGCTCTGGGGCACCACAAAGCCTTATATATTTTTTTCTCTTTTTCTTTCTTTCTCTCTTTCTTTCTTTCTTTCTTTTTTTTTTTTTGTTTGTTTGTTTGTTTCTTTGTTGTAGGGAGCATGCTCAGGTCAGAAAGAGAGAAGGAAAGTGAGAAATCACACCCAGGGGGGATGGCCATATTGCAGTCCCTCCTCTTGCATTCTCCTTTCAGCATTTTCAAGCCACTAGGTCAAGAATTCAAACCATGCAGTTGCCCATGTAGAATCCAGCCACCTTAACCTCTGTGCCACTTGCTGGCCCTCAAGCATTGTATTTTTTTATTTTAAAATGTATAGTGGGGACCAGCAGATGGCGTAATGGCTACGTTGCTGGACTCCCATGTAGCTAACCACGGTTTGAGTCCCGAATCCAGTGGCTTAAACTCATGCTGGGTGCATGTGCGTGCATGCCCAAGATCCCAAGAGGAAAATGGAGGAGAAGGGATTGTGGCATGGCATCCCCCCATGGGGTAATTTCTCACTTTCTCTCTGTCTCTCTGGCAAGCACAAGTGCCTTGTAGCAAAATTACAAAACACACACACACAAATAAATAAAAATTATATATTGAATTCTGAGGCAACTAAGAATCAGTGTGGCATGGTGGAAATGGTGAACCATGAAGATAGAGGCCTGAGTTTGTATATTTCTCTGCTTGGTGAGACTGGAGAAAGCAATCAGCCTTTCAATTTTCTTGTCAGTAAACAGAGATAAATATTAATATGCTTGACTCATAAGGTCATAGTAATCACTTAAAAAATCATTTATAGCATCAGCTGATGGCATAATGGTTATGTCACTGGACTACCATGTAGTTGACTGCAGTTCAAATCCTAGACCTGGTAGCTTAAACTCACGTCAGGCGCATGTGTTTGTGTGCCCAAGATTCCAAGAGAAGTAGGGATTGTGGCATGGACATCCCCACCCTCGCGGGGGCGTTTTTCCACTTTCTGTCTGTCTGGTGAGCACACACGCCCTATAGTAAAAATCTCTCTATTAAAAAAAAATAATAATAATTTATGTTCATACTACAACACAGATTCATCTTAAGCACCGTAATAAATGAAGTCAGTCACAAAAGATCATATAATGTTTTTTCATGTTCCACCAGAATAGGCATAGAAACAAAAGGCAGTTTATTAGTTGCCAGGGGATAAGGGGGTGGGGGAAATGGAAAGTGACTGCTAATAGGTATAAAGGTTCTTTTCAGAGTAATGAAAATGTTCTAAAAGTAGTGATGTAAGGTGCACAACCCTGAATATGCTAAAAGCCACTGAACTGTACACTTTATAAAGGTGAATACTGTGGTACATGGTTTGTATTTTAATAAATGTAGCACATTGTAGATGTTCATGAATGTTTTTAATGTCTTTTTAAGACTTAACAGCGCAAATCCTAAAGAATGGCTATTCTTTTCTTTTCTTTCTTTTTTTTTTTTTTTAATTTGACCAGAGAGAGAAAGAGAAAGTCAGAAAGCAAGCTGCCAAGTCCGAGACTCAAACCATGGTCAGCCATGCGAGAATCCAGTGCCTTTAACCACCATACCACCTGCTGGTCCAAGACCAGATGGTATAATTGTTACATCGCTGGACTCCCACGTAATTGACCACCGTTTGAGTACTTGACCTGTCAACTTAAAACTCACAGCAGGTGCATGTGTGTGCCATGTATGCCCAAAATCCCAAGAGGAGGATGGAGGAGAAGGGATTGTAATGTGGCCATCCCCCCTGAGGGGTGATTTCTTGGGATTGCCTTGGGACCAGCAGGTGGCATGGTGGTTAAGGTGCTAGACTCCCACATGGCCAACTGTGGTTTGAGTCCCATACCCAGTAGCTTAAAAATCATGCCCATGTGTGCCCAAAATCCCAGGAAGAGAGTAGAGGAGAAGGGATGTGGCATGGCCTTCACCCTAGGGGTGATTTCTCACCCTTCTCTCTCTCTCTCACTCTCTCTCTCGCTCTCGCTCTCTCTGACTGTGTACTCGCTCTATAGGGGCGGGGTTTTTTTTTGGTGTCAGAGAGAGCCAGCTTGTGGTGTGGTGCTTAAGATAGCTGGATTCCACATAACTGAGTGTGTAATTTGAATCCTGGACCTGGTTTGCTTGGAAAACAGGCTGACTTTTTCTGCTACATTGGTATCATTTTATAAACCTCTGTGTGTCTGGAGGATATTCTAAAGTCCTTGTCGAGAGGATATCTTAATGCTGGCGTGTGTGTACCCAAAATCACAAAAGAAAGGAGGGATGCAGGAGAAGGGATTATTATGGCCTTACCACCCCCTATTGTGGGTGCTTTTTCACCTCCCACCTTCTCCCTAAAGAGGAATATGGAAGTACTGTCTTACACTTCATTAACAACATTTAGGTCATCAATGGATTGCAAATATGACTGTCCCTTAATATAATGGAACTAAAAAATACCTATTGCCTAGCGACAGCCTAGGCTTTGTAGAGTCCTATTATTCACATGTTTGTGGTGACGCTGGTATAAACGCATCTGCTCAGCCAGTCATATAGAAGTATAGCACATACAATTACCTAAGTATGTGATGCTTATACTACACTTTTCATCCTTATTTAGAGTAGACTTCTATGTGCTTTAAAAACAAAAAATAGGTTTTTTACCATAAGGCACATGTGCTCACCAGAGAGAAACAGAGAGAGGGAAAGTGAAAAATATCTCCCCAGAGAAGATGGCTATGCCGCCATTCCTTCTCCTCCCATCTCCTTTCAACGTTTTGGGAACGCATGCACACACACCCAGTGTGATTTTCAAGCCACCACTTCAGTACTTGAACCATTGTTGGCCATGTGGGAGTCCAGTGCTTTAAACAACATGCCACCATGGCCCCCCAAGAAAGTTTACCATAAGACCATATGCTGTGTTGCACCAGCAGCAGCCTCAAACATCTCTTGCATCTCTTCATTGCATCATTTTCTCTTGTGTTGATTCGGTCTCGTGTTGTTTTTTTCATCATGGCCCGTAAGCCATGGACTATACCATATAGTCTAGGTGTGTAATAAACTACCATCTAGATCTGTGTAAGTGCACACTGTGATGTTCACATCTTGACACAGTTGTACATTTCTTGGAACATAATCTGTGCTAAGTTAACCATCAGTTCTTGTAACTGATGAACAGTATTTTGCTTGATTCAATGAAATGGCATTAGTGTTCTGATAAATATCTAGTGAATTTCTGTTTATTTTCTGCTACATTGATACCATTTTATAAACCTCTGTGTGTCTAGAGGATATTCTAATGCCCTGGAAATGAATGTTAAGAGAACTGTATTTAGGGATATCAGAATGGGCTTTGCTAGCTTAGGGTGAGAGCACGTTTTATTTTCCATAATACTTAGAAGTAAATCGTATCTATTGGGTTGTCAGAAAAGTCGTGATGTATTTTTTCTTTCTTCCTTTTTTTTTTTTTTTTTTTGCTATATGACGTGTGCGTTCACCAGAGAGGCAGAGAGAGACAAAGAGACATAAAATGAGAAATCACCCCACGGGGGATTTGTGGCCACACCACAATCCCTTCTCTCCCATTCTCTTGGGATCTTGGGCATGCATGCACACACGCCCGGCCTGAGTTTAAGCCACGGGGTCCAGGACTCGAACCACGGTCGACTACATGGGACTCCAGCGACATAGCCATTATGCTAACTGCTGATCCCGAGATGTATTTTTTCTGTGTTTTTCTATGCAAAAATGCACTATGACTTTTCCAACTACCCAATAAAAAGCAATTTCAAAAGTTGTTTAATTTGGTTTTGTTTTCTTTTTGTTGTTTTAGTTTTTGTGGTTTTGTTTTGTTTTGTATTTTTCAGTTTTTACTATAGGGTGCTTGTGCTCACTGGAGAGAGAGAAAAGAGAGTGAGAAATCACCCCCAAGGATGGTGTCCATGCCACAATCCCTTCTCCTCTGGGGATTCTATGTGGGCACACACACCTAGGTACCCAGCACTCTTTTCAAGATGCCAGGTCCAGGACTTGAACTGAGAAGTTGACCATGTGGGATCTGACTGCCTTAACCACCATGCCACTAGCTGACCCCTAATTCGACTTTGTACATTTATTTGTAACATTAAGTGATATAGTCCCCAAGTGTAAAGGGATTTTTTATTTCTTCTATTCTGTGGCATATTTAAAACAAAAACAGAAACAGAACAAAGCCTACGGACTTAGCCTTGTACCTCTTGGCTGGTTTCTGGCCCTGTTGTTGCCGGCAGTATACTTTGACCGTGTTGGCTGATCTTATTCTCAGAGTAGTGCCCCAGTTCCAGTGCCGTTGAAGGGTGGAGACCACGAGCTCTGGAAGAAAAGCACAGACGTTGCCAGTGGATTCAGAATTGCCTCTAATAATCTGCCTCTGTGCATTCCCCAGGAGCTGATAGACTATCTGCGGACACATTCCCATAGTGCAGTGTATGCCACGTCGCTGTCCCCACCTGTAGTGGAGCAGATCATCACCTCTATGAAGTGCATCATGGGGCACGATGGCACCAGCATTGGTAAGTCCATCTTTGCTTCAGACAGCTCCTAGGCTTAGTAAACACTTAACTGCCAGATGTGTTCTTTTGGAGTTTTCTTTTTCCCTAAAATAAGGTTTACTGCATGGGCGGAGTTGGCTGATATGTGAATCCCTGGTTTTCATGGACACTTCTCAGTGTATCAGATACCCCTGCCATCAGAACTCTACTTCTTATGGACTTTCCTTGTTTACACACTCTAAGACGTTACTCTTACTGTCCTGTATACCTTCCTAAGCCTTTCTTGAATTAGTATCCTTAACACTTTTTAAAAGTTTTTATTTATTCATTTGTTTTTTAAAATTTAACTAGAGAGAGACAGAGAGAGAGGGAAAGCAAGAAAGCAAGCCACCTGGTCCGGGACTTGAACTGTGGTCAGCCGTGTGGGAGTGTCCAGTGCCTTAACCACCATGCCACCTGCTGGTCTCCTTAACAGATTTTTAGAGAATTTCTAAGTTAGCATATAGATAATAAAGGTCACCCAGAATCTATTTATTGGGTGATTAGAAAAGTCATGACATGGGGCTGGCAGGTGGCATGGGTGGTCAAGGCGCGGCAGTCCCACATGGCCAGCTGTGGTTCAAGTCCCTACCTGGCAGCTTTCTCTCTCTCTCTCTCTCTCTCATCAAATTAAAGTAATAATTAATAAATTTAAATGAATAATTATTTAAAAAAGAAAAGTCATGACGTGTAGTTTTGCATGGAAAAACACATCATGGCCTTTCTGAGGACCCAGTATTTTGTCTTTGGTGGAAAATGGTCAAGTGTGATGCTTACTTTCTTATATTTGACTTTTGTTCTCTATCACCAGAGGGCAGTGTTGACTGCAGAACAGTTAAAATAAAACGGGAGCAATTGGTTTTTTGTTGTTTTTACTTTAACAAGTATTTGCATTCCCACAATGAGACATAGACAAGGTCTTCAAAAAGTTTCATCGAAAATGTATATTATGGAAAAACTATGTGAGAATTTTACACTTTTTCCCACCGTAATAAATATACTTTAATCCCATTTTCCATGAACTTTTGAAGACCTCCCCCTCACCCACATACATTAATTTTACTTGTTGTTTTTCTAATGTCTCTATAGTCAATTTGGCTCTTGTAAAAGACTTCATGGAGGGAACCAGCAGTTAGCGTAATGGCTGTCGCTGGACTCCCATGTAGTCAACCACGGTTTGCATCCCGGACCCAGTGGCTTAAAACTCACACCGAGCACATGTGCATGCGTGCCCAAGATCCCAAGAGGAGAATGGAGGAGAAGGGATTGCGGTGTGACCATCCCCCCTGGGGGGTGATTTCTCGCTTTCTGTCTCTATGTCTCTCTCTCTGTCTGTCTGGCGAGCACACGCGCCCTATAGCAAAAACCTTCCACCCAAAAAAAAAAACCCCCAAAAAAAAAAAAAAAAAAAAAAAAAAAAAGACTTCATGGAGCCAGTAGATAGCATAATGGTTACATGGCTGGATTCCCACATAGTTGACACAGTTCGAGTCCCAGACCTGGTGACTTAAAACTCATGCCTGGTGCGTGCCTAAAATCACAAGAGAAGAGTGGAAAAGAAGAGATTGCAGTGCGACATTCCTCCCTAAGGGTGATTTCTCGCGCTCTGTCTCATTGTCTCTCTGGTGAGCACACGTGCCCTGTAGGTAAAAGTCTCTCTTTAAAAAAAAAAGACTTCATATTATCAGCCTTGACATAGCTACTCTGTGATTATATACTTTTTCTTAAAATTTATTTGGTTTGTTTGGTCAGTCCATGGCATGGTGGTTGGGGCAACTGAATCCCACATGGCCAAATGTGTGGTTCAGAAATCTGGACCCTGCAGCTTGAAAAACATGCTGGGCATGTCTGCATACATGCCCAGAGTATAGAGAGGAGAGTGGAAGAGGGGATTGCAGGGTAGCCAACTCGCCAGGGAAATGATTTCTCATGTTCTCTCTCTCTCCCCCTCAGTGAGCACAAATGCTCTATAGCAAAAAACTGAGGGGAAAAAAAAGTAAAAAAGTAAAAATTGATTTCTTTTTTCATTGAAAAATAAGAATAAAATGGGACCAGCAGCTGGCATAATGGCTATGTCACTGGACTCCCATTTAGTCGACTGCAGTTTGAGTCTTGGACCCAGTGACTTAAACTCACACCAGGCACATGTGCATGTGTGTGTGCCCAAGATCCCGAGAGGAGAGTGGAGGAAAAGGGATTGCGGTGTGGCCATCCCCCCTAGGGGATGATTTCTCACTTTCTGTCTCTATGTCTCTCTCTGTCTGTCTGGAGAGCGCACATGCTCTATAGCAAAAACCTCTCAAAAAAGAAAAAGAAAGTGGTATGTCTGATTTTAATTGATTGAAGAGGTTTTTAAAATCATAATTTTGCCTTAATATTTTTTTCTGGGGCTGGCAGGTGGCATGATGGTTAAAGGTGCTGTACTCCCACATGGCCAACCATGGTCCAAGTCCCAGACCTGGTGGCTTGCTTTATCACATTCTCTCTCTCTCTCTCTCATCCCCTCTGTTCCTTGCTAGTTAAATTAAAAATAAATAAAGTTAAATGAAATAATTCTTTTTTTTTTTTTTTTAGAGATTTTTGCTC